ATATATATATATATATATATATATATACCTATAATGTAAGTTGTAACACAATTTAGCATTCCCTTACATAGAACTGAGAACTTTCATGTTGTCTATATGGAGCTTTTTTGGCAGCTCAAATCCAAAGGAAATGTGGGTAAAATGTGCCCTATGCAGTTTCTGGATCCACCAAGCCTGTACTCTAGGGTTAAAAACATTGGTTTGACACCATTCTGAATCTGATTGAGAAAATGCATACATAGACACAATCTCACACACAAATTTACAGTTTTTTGTTAGATCTACATATTCTTTACCTCGGTACACTGGAGTTGAGTGTTCAGTGAGCATAAATATTGTTAAGGAAGTTTCTTCTAGTAGTCTAATTTACGCACACAGGCACACACTCCTGCATCAAACAGAAAGTGGATTTGAGCTGTGGTCTTTCGTAGAAAGTGCGACATTGTTTTTTATTGTTCTTTTAGATTGTTTGAATAAACCTGTTTTTGAAGCAAACTTCATGAGGTGGCTGCTGTTTTTGCCTCTTTTGTCCGAGTGTTACAACATACCCCGGCAGTGGGGTAGATTGTAACAAAGGCACTCTATGTATTTGACATCAGCTTATAAGGGCTGTGATATTCTTGCAGAGGTTTGAATTGGTGTCTTTTGTAGTGAACAAATTTGGGTATTTTGTATAAAAGTTTGAGCACTCTAGCTAAACAATTCAGCGAGTTACAGATGCTGAAACAAAAAGTGTTACAACCATACCTGGTCTCCCCTACACACACACACACACACACACACACACACACACTATATATATAATTTAAAGGCATAAATAATCAATGTAAAATGTTTAAATTTTGTACATTTTATATAAGCCATTGGATAAAATTTAAATGAATAAATAAATAAATATTTACAAATAATTAAAAAACATTTAAAAATAAATATTTAAAAAACTATTTAAAGGAGACATATTATGTCCCTTTTTACAATATGTAATATAAGTCTCTTGTGTCCCCAGAATGTGTCTGTGAAGTTTCAGCTCAAAATACTCCACAGATAATTTATTATATTATTTTGAAAATGCCTATTTTGAGTGGATGCATGTTTATTTTAGATCTGTGTGACAGCAGCAATATACAGTAAATAATCAATAAATCCACTGCTCTTGTCTCCTCTGAGGCTGGGACTCTAAACAGTGTTCTGTGCTTGTCAGTGCAGCCAAAGGCAGAACAGTTAGCATGTTTTGTTCAAACTTTTGCCATGGCATTAGAACTAATACACCGTTGTCGCTTGCAAAAACACAATAACGGCGCCGTGGGTGGAAATGTACAGATTAAGGGGCAGTAATATTATAATGAGATCCGTTTGCAACGTCACCAAGGGAGCGAAATCTGACGCATTCATTTTCTCAGAGCTTGCAGAAAAAGGCTTACCAAAACAAAACTTTTTCACGTTTCCTTGGTTGGTAAATGCGCTGGGGATCTGATTATAGCACTGGAAAAGTCAGATTTTCATGATATGTCACCTTTAAAGAAAATAAATATTAAACATTAATATTAAAAAAAAAACTAAAAAGTTACATTTTAAAATTTTGTACATTTTACCTAATTGTTAAATCATATTTTTAAAATATTTCTTTAAATAATTATATATTACTATATATATATATATATATATTACTAATTACTATATATGAAGAATATTTAATTAAATGAAATGTTTTAAAATATTGCTTTTAATTAAAAACATTTTGTAAATACTTTGTAATTTATATTTTTAAACTATTGATTGATTGATTGATTGACTCTACCAAATGTATGAGAACCGACAAAGCATCTCAAATATAAAAAAGTTTGCATTTATTTATTTACATGCTTCCATACATTTCTTAGCTTTGATGACTTTAGTATTATCCAAAGATTGATTGATAATCAGTGTTGGGGGTAACGCATTACAAGTAACTTGAGACTTTAGTCTTTGCAACTTCAGGGATCTTATCTATGCACAATCAGCTTGTAACACTCCAAAGAGAAAGGAAAACTTGAAATCGCATCATATGACCCCTTTAAAAACAAACAAGCAAGCCCTGTCCAGATTTAAAAAGTAACGCAAAAGTAACGTAACGCATTACTTTCCATAAAAAGTAACAAAGTAACGTAATTAGTTACTTTTTTATGGAGT